TGGGGAGCCTGCTTCTCCCTCTCCCTCTGCCTGCCTCTCTGCCTACTTGTTCTCTCTATCTCTCTGTCAAATAAATAAATAAAATCTTTAAAAAATATATGTATATTCCCTGCCTTCATACTCACCCCCATCTAGCTACTGTCCTATTATTTTACTCCTCATTCAAAATACAACTTTTTCACCTAACATTTATTTTGTAAGTCTTGCTTTCTAGTTCCAGTAGACTGTTAATGAACACAGTACAGGCTTTGAAGACAGTTAGAGCCGAGCTCAAATCTCAGCTCAGGAACTTACCATCTTTGGAAACCTTAACCTTTAGGCTCTGTGTCTTATCTGTAAGAGGAACCCTGACTTGTTAAAGGTTGTTTTGAGGACTTGTGTGAGGCTCATAGGAGCTCAGTCATGGCAAACAAGATATTCTCTAGATGGTAGTAAATACTACTATTATTTTGACTACGCTTTTCCTTTTTTAAAAGATGTATTTTCTGGTTTGTAATCATGTTTTTCAAGTAGTTGAGGTTGCAGAATAAGTGACCTCAGGAAAATACAGTGTTGGTATGTATAGAAAATTAAGATAGCTTATCCCACGCTTGTTTAATGTGTTTGATTTCTAACAAAATTTCATTTTATTTTCTAGAAGACAGGACTTTTCTTGGTGGTCAAGTATTAGAATTATTGTAAGTGCAATAGATCAAGTTTCTTAAAAGTCTAGCTCTTATTTCAGCACCATGTTTAGCATTAATCCTTTTCTGTTCTTCCCTCTATTGGAAAAGGGATGAGAAACAGCATGGTGTATTCACAGAATGTGTCATGTGATTCAAGGGATAATAGAAAAGTCTTCTTAAGCAAAAATTGCTTATCTACTGACCTATGATAAGAACTGGAATTTGTTTTTTTTAACTTTTTGATTGCCTACGCAGACTCCATCACTCTGAGAGAATATAGGGGATTCAGAAATAAATATAGGCCCATTTTAGTAAAAGAAGAATCAGACATGTAAATAAATAATCAGAATCTTTGCATAGGTGTACTGGATTTGAGGAGATCAGAGAACTATTGTATGAGGGATTCACATGGAAGTTGATATTGCTCAAAATTATGACAAAGTACTGTGTTTGAAGGGAACGTATTTCATCTTCAGTGAAAAGTGGTAGGGACCCAGAGGTTTAGAGATTGCAATAAGGAAGAGGATGAACAGTTGACAAAATCAGATGGCATGAGACTAAAAGGAGATGATTAATTTCTTGGTAAGAGTCCTCCTGTAAAAACTGGTTTTTTCCCCAGTTTTATTGGGAAATAATTGGCATACGTCATTGTATTAGTTTCAGATGTACAACATGATGGTTTGGCTTATGTATAATGTGAAACAATTACCATGATAGGTTTATTTATTTAATTTATTTATTTAATTTATTTATTTTAGAGAGGGAACGTGCACACCTGAGCATGCGCGTGCAGGCGAGTGTGGGGTTGGGAGGGGCAGAGGGAGAGGGGAGAGAATCTTAAGCAGACACTGTGCTTAGTGTGGAACTGATGAGGGGGCTCGGCTCGATCCCACGACCCTGAGATCACGACCTAAGGGAAACCAAGAGTTGGCTGCTTAACCAACTGTGCCACCTGGACACCCCTACCATGATAGGTTTGGTTAGCATCCATCATTTCATATAGATACAGTACAAAGAAAAGGACAGAAAATTTCTCTTGTGATGAGAACTCTTAGGATTGACTCTCTCAACAGTATCCCCGTATGTCATACAGCAGTGGTAATTGTTGTCGTCATTTGCACATCACATCCCCAGTACTTACTTATCTTATAACTTATAAGTTTGTACTTTTGACCACCTTCCTCCAGTTTCTCCTTTCCCCACCACCTGCCTCTGGTAACCACAAATATGATCTCTTTTTCTATGAGTTTGGTGGTTTTTTGGGGTTTTGTTTTGCTTTGTTTAATTCCACATATAAGTGAGATCATATAGTATTTGTCTTTCTCTGATTTGTTTCATTTAGCAGAATGCCTTCAACATGTATCCGTGTCATTCCAAATGGTAGGATTTCATCTTTTTTATGGCTGAACAGTATTCCATTGTATAATTTCTATAGATTTGATGGAAAAGGCAGAAGAGAACTTTAACAAAACAGTATAATGGGAGTTTTCACAGTGATGCTTTTAGAGCACACACAACTTTCTTTAATCAAAAATACTTAAAAAAAACTTTTTATTAAGAGAAAATTTAATAAATATATAAAAGTAGACAAAAGAGAAAAATGAAACCCCTGGCCTATCACTCAGTTCAGTAATTATCAACTCATGGCTAATGTTGTTTTTTCTCTATCTCCCCCTTCTTTTAGAATATTTTGAAGTAAATCACTTTTTTTAATTGTTTTTATTTTTTTAAGATTTTATTTATTTGAGATAGAGAGCGAGCAAGCAAGAGAGAGAGAGAGAGCATGAGTGGGGTGAGGGGTAGAGGGAGAGGGAGAAGTAGACTCTCCACTGACCAGGGAGCCTGAGGTGGGGCTCCATCCCAGGACCCTGGGATCATGACCTGAGCTGAAGGCAGATGCTTAATTGACTCAGCGACCCAGATGCCCCTAAAGCCCTTTTTTAGATCATCACTTTTTAAAGATTATTTTGAAGTAAATCTCAGACATCATATGGTTTTATCTATAGAGACCAATATCTAAAATGTAGGTTTTGGGTAGATAGCCTGTCATTTTCATTTTTTGTGAGCTTCTTATCAGGTTTTGGTATCAAGGTTTTGCTGGGCTTGTAAGACAAATTGAGAAGTGTTCTCTCTTATGGTCCTTGAAAGAGTGTGTACATAATTGACACTGTTTTCTTCCACAGAAGTTTGAAAGAATTCACCAGTGAAGTCACTGACTTAGTGTTTTGTTGTTGCTGCTGTTGTTGTTGTTAGGTTTTAAAGAACAGATTGTGTGTATCTACACACATATATATATGTAACATACATATACACATATGCGTGTGTATATATATATAAAACCATTTAGTTTTTTTCTATATCTGTACAAGTTTTAAGTTTTCTTTTGGTAGAAATTTGTTTTTTTAAATAAATCATTATTTTGAAGTAAATGTCAAGATTGGATCAGATATGGATATCTAAAATAAAGAAACAACATTACACACACCAGAAATTTCTTACCATCATCAAATATCCACTCAGTTCACATTTCCACAATTGTACTATAATTGTTTAATCATTTTGTTTGAATTATGATTCAGATCAGGTACCTTCAATACCTTCAGGAGCATGAATGTATTCATAATGTCTTGTTAGAATTTTTAAATACTTCTATCTCTTTTCATTCCTGATATTAGTAATTTGTGTCTTCTCTCTTTTCTCTTGACCAGTGTTACCATGTATTCATCAACTGGTGAATTGAACCTTTTATTATTTTGACATTTTTCTTTGAAGATTTCTCTCTCTTTTATAGAGCAGCCAAGCCAGCAGGATTTTTTTTTTACTTTTCATATATTATATCTTTGTTTAT